AGAATAAGATACATGAAACAATGGTTTTCAATGCAGTGAGGCTTTGACAACGGAGAACAGTCATGCCTGAAAAGCAAAATAACAACAAAAAACCTTTTGATTACTTCAGCTCCCTTTTTGAGGGAGTTTCCTAGCCACTCTGCCAGGAAAGAGAACTCAGAAATGATAAGACTCTGAGTTTAAAAGACAGACTTAGGGTTTGGGAAAAAAAAATCACAGGAGCTAGAAGTGACAGAGCCTGCTGAAAACAAGAGTGATGAATGAGGAACTATTTCAACAATTTGTACAGAGTTCTACTTGAGAAACCAGTGGAGTAATTATAAGGGCATGCATGTGATGAATTTACCCAAGGCTAAGATGAGAGTCATTGAAGCATTAGCTATAACACTCACCCAGGTCCAGAAATAGTACTAATTTCCACTGGACAGACTAGAAAAACTCATGAGTCAATGGGCAGAGTGGAAGACTCTTGCCTGCATAGTGGGGAATAATTAACCTATTTTATTCTCATTTAACAGGCGCTACATGCAAGATTCAATGAACTACACAACTACTATGTACTTCCCATGCAAATTAACTCTATCCAGAATAAAACTCAAGAATACTTATAAGATCCCAAAATATTCAGCAAATGACAAGATAATATTTTTAATGTCTGGAATTGAATCTAAAATGACTAATTATGCAAAGCAGCATAAATCATAACATACAATGAGGAGAAACTATAGAAATCAAAATTGAAATGAACACAAAGGTTGAATGGGCAGTCAAGGACACCTAAACAGTTACTATGAATATTGCATATTTGGCAAGTTAAACAGAAAATAAAATATCTGATATAAAAAATAAAGTGGCTTGAATATGTAGCAAATTGCACATATGGAAGAAAAGCAAATATAATTCATTGCAATACAAATAATATGAAATGAAACACAGAATGAAAGAGAAGAAAAGAAAAAAATAAATAGAAACAACATTAGTGAAAAAATTGGACAACTTCAAGAGACATAACTGGACAGTTATAATCAAAATAGGTTTCTATTGGCAGAAGGATAAATACATCAACCAATGGAACAGATTATAGACACCAGAAATTAATCCACACATCTACAACCAACTAATCTTTGATAAATGAGCTAAAATCACTCCTTGCAGGAAGGAGAGCCTCTTCAACAAATGACATTTGGAAAACTGGATCTCTGTATAAAGAGATTAAACAAGATTCACAGTGAATCAGGGATCTGGATCTAAGACCTAAAACTACCAAATTACTAGACAAAAAACATAGGGAACACCCTGCAGGACACTGGCATAGGCAAAGACTTTGTGGATAAGACCCTAGCAGCACAGGCAAGAAAGACACAAATAGACAAATGGGATTACATCAAGCTAAGAAGCCTATACATGGCAAAGAAAACACTGAACAAAGTAAACAGGCACCTGACAGAATAGGATAAATTATTTGCAAATTATACATCTAATAAAGGACTAATATCCAGAAGATATAAGGAGGTCAAGAATTCAACAACAAAACAAGGCATCCTGTTAAGAAATGGGCTAAGGATATGAACAGGCATTTTTTAAAAGGATGAAATACAAGTGGGCAGCAGACACATGAAAAGATGCTCAGGATCATGGCCATCAAGGAAATGTAAATAAAAAAAATCACAATGATGTTTCACTTCCCCCCTATTAGAACCACTATCATCCAAAAATCAAAAAATAACATATGCTGTCAAGGATGTGGGGGGGAACATACCCTAAAGCATTATTGGTGGGAACGTAAACTCATACAACTACTATGGAAGACAGTATGGAGATTCCTCAGAAATCTGAAAACAGGTCAACATGTGATCCAACCATGTCACTCCTGGGAATTTACCCATGGGAATGATATCAGTATGAAAGAGTTATCTGTACCCCTGGTATTTACAGCAGCGCAACTCACAATAGCTAAGATATGGAATCAACCCAGATATCCATTAACTGATGACTGGATATAGAAATTGCAGTATATATACATGATGGAATACTGCTTGGTCATAAAAAAACAGTGAAATCCTGTCTTTTGCAACAAAAAGAATACAACTGAGACACGATTATGCTTAGTGAAATAAGCCAGTCCAAAAAGTAACAAATATAATGTTTTCCCTCATTTGTGGTAACTAATATAGAGGGTACAAAAAATGTAATGAGCGAAATTGGTATTTTGTGATTTGATTATTGTTTATAGCCATTGTCTATACTCTTGAGGAACAGTGATTTTTCTCACTAGTTGTTGAATTCTTTCTTTACGTGTGGGTGAAGCTTGTGATTATAAAGAAGTTGAAAATATGCATTGTAAAAATTCAAAGAAAAATAAGAAGGGAGGTTGGGAGTTGGGGGGAGGTCAGGGTAGGAAGTATTATTATGTTCTTAAAACTAAATTTATGGGGCCGGCGCTGTGGCTTAGAGGGTAAAGCCGCTGTCTGTAGTGCCAGCATCAACACATATCAAAGAAAATACATAGGTAGCACATAAGTACAAGAAGAGATGCTGAAGATATGGGTCATGAGAGAAATGCAAACTAAAACCATATAGGATACTATCATACACTAGCTAGAATGGCTAAAATTCAGAGACTAGCCTTATCAAGTATTGGGAGGATGGATTTGAATTGCAACTAACATTCATTCTTGGTAGAAATAGAAAATGGTATAACTAGTTAGGAAAAGTACCTAGAATATAAAATTATTAATATTAAACATTAAATATATTAAATAATTATAATATTCATGTTATAATTTATATAATTATAATATTATTGTAACATAATATTATAATTTGTAGTATTTAATATTAAGTATTAAATATATTAAGTATTATATGTTAATAGTTTGAATATACCATCTAGCAATACCACTCATAGATATTATGAAAGAGAAATAAAAATACAGGTTCATACAAATATTTATAAAGAAATATTTCTAACAGCTTTGTTTTTAACAACCAAAAACTGGAAACAACCAAAATATCCATCAAGGAGTGAAAGCATGAACTGACTGACATATCTACACAGTGGCATGCTACCAAGCCATAAAAAAAAAAATCAGCTCTTGTTATACCCTACAATGTAGACTGATTTTCTACATAATATTGTTGAATGAAGGGAATTGCCTGAAAGAAATTTTCTAGAAATTCTAGAAAATGTAAAGCGAAAGCAATCCATAGCCTCAGGGAGCAGGTGAGGGATTGCCTTGGCACAAGGCAGTCAGGAGAGCTGACTTGCAAAAGGGCAGGAAGAACATTTTGGGGGTGCCCAGGTATTGATGCTGGTGCCTCTACCCCTCCCCTTTGTTGTCCTTATTCTGCTTTATTCATTTCCTCAGTCTCATAAGGAATTTAAATTTGCAACTACCAATCAATTTCCTACTTTCTTTTAAAAAAGAAAAGAATCTTTAGTGTCTCCCATAAGTCTGTAAGCAAAATCTATCCAAATTCCCTAAATCATTCTATAGCAACATCCATTTGTTCTCAAGTGATTTTCCAAACTTATTTCTTACTGCTTTCCTACATCAGCCAATATACAGGAGAAAATCTGCTTCTTTCAAGCTACTGCCTGCAGGCTCAAATAAGCTGATTGCCCTGGGTTTGTTACTTAGCATGCCACTGAGATTCATTGTTAAGCCATTTGCAAACAAAGCAGAAAGCAAAACGCACTGCCTGTAAGTTCACTTACAAGTGAGTTAAGCTGCTGCTTGGGATACCATATTATTGAGCCTTGTTCAAGTCCTGGCTCTTACACTTCCAATTCAGTTTCTTGATAATGTGCTTGGGAGACAGCAAATGATGGCCCAGGTATTTGGATTCCTATCACCCGTGGAGGGGATCTGGTTAATGTTTCCAGCTCCTGGGTTTGGCCTGGCTCACTCTGGGCTATCTGTGGGTATTTGTATAGTAAATCAGCACAGGAAGATCCCCAAATCTCCTCCTCTCTCTGTCACTCTGCCTCCCAAATAAATTTTTTTAAAGATTTGTTTGTTTATTTGAAAGGCAGAATTACAGAGAGGCAGAGAGAGAGAGGTCTTCCATTCGCTGGTTCACTCCCCAGTTGGCCACAATGGCTGCAGCTGCGCTGATCCAAAGCCAAGAGCCAGGAGCTTCTTCTGAGTCTCCCACGCGGATGCAGGAGCCCAAGTGCTTGGGCCACCTTCTACTGCTTCTCCTAGGCCACAGCAGAGAGCCGGATCAGAAACAGAGCAACCAGGACTTGAATTGTTGCCCACATGGGATGCCAGCACTGTAGACAGTGGCTTTACCCACTACACCACCATGCCGGCCCCTCAAATAAATCTTTAAAAAAAAAAAAACACTTGGATATTTTCATTTCTATGAAATGGTAATAGAAAGTTCTGTTTTTGTTTCTCTAAAGAAGAGTGAGAGAAAAGGACCCTTGAGAGAAAAATCTTTTTTTTTTTTTTTTTTTTTTTTTGCTGTTAGGCACAAGATTTCAGAGGTTTAAACAGTAATGTTCTCACAGAGAATAAGAGTTCATTAAAGCCATAATCAACAACCGAAGCAACAGAATTAGGGCAGGTTAGGTTCTCTTCCAAGGGCAGGGTCAGGTCCTCCTCGAAGCCCTTCTGTGGTCATTGAGAGCCATCTTCGGGTGGCAAGATGCCGCTGAAGGAACCCTGGAGACTCCTGGCTATGCTGCGTCATCTCACGTTAGAGATCATTTTGTGAACCTTTACTTTTTTCTCCTGAAAACTGACCATAACTGTGTCATTTTTATTTTTGTATGAAGTATTCTTTTTTATACATTTCCTTCTAAAGACATAGGAAAAAAAATGACAACTATTATGAGAGTCCTAAGTGCAAACATCCATTTCACTCTTTTTATAATGTTGTCCTGAAACCATTAAAATTTGAGGTAATTACCACTTGTATACTTTGTATGTCTGTCACATTTATACTCAAGATATTTTAATATTTTTAATAGTAACGTATTATATACTCACAAATAAAACTTCTCATCCCATACTGGATTCAGGTTTCCAAAAATGGTTTTAGTTCTTCTTTTGTTCTTCCCTACTTGAACTGTAACATATGGGTCACTGGACCCAGTTTTGTCTTTTGCCTGCAAGCCTTGTGCAGAAACCACTGAAATAAACCAAAGGAAAATTTCAATATAAAGATTTTTTTCCAGAAACAAAAAATTATAATTTAAGGAATACATTTGCTATCATTTTGCCCAATGGGCTTGCAGATGCATTTCCATTGCTTCAAGTCTTGGGATCTTAAGGAACTATTGAATTAAAGAAGTGCACCAACCATGAAACTCTTCCTTTTGTTCTTTATGGCTGAATAGCTGTGGGGAGCAACTGAGACTAGACTAAGTTACTGGAATTAAGACTTATTCTATGCATCTTCTCTCCCACAATATGGCGCTGGGAGAGGAGGAAACTTCTACGCAGCTGCCTCTTGCCAGTATGACTGATGAGCTGCAGGAGCTGATCATGCTCCTGATTGGAGGAGAGCAGCGTGCTCGGCGTGTGGGCAGCAGAGTTGGGATTGGTGGAAGAGGACTATAAGGGAGGAGAGAGACAACATGCACCAGGGAACATCTGAAGGAACACCTGAGCAACCCTGGAGAGAGCCGGCCGGCGGTATGCCGCTCCTCCGCGGAAGTGGGGAAAGTGGCAGGGGGTACTGCCCCTCCACGGAGGTGGAGGGGTCGGCAGCCAAACCGGGAAGGACCAGCAGCAAACCCAGGAAGGGCCGAGCAGACAAAAGAACAGCGCAGGGTTTAGTGTCATTCCTCCATGAAGAGGGGGAGCGACAAATAGCAATTTTTGTGTGTGTATATATTCAATATTTGCCTTATCCATGCATCCACTGATGGACACTTGGGTTGAATCTCTCTCTCGGCTACTGTGAATACTGTTTTAATAATCATGGAAGCACAGATGTCTTTTCAACATACTCTATTCTTTTCTTTGGGATTTATACTCAGTAGTGAGACTGCTAGATATCTTAATTCTATTTTTAATTTTTGAGTGACTTTCATTTGTTTTCTTTAAGAGCTGTACTAACATACATTCCCTCCAATAATGTGCAAGGGTTCCATTATTCCATATCCCCAACAACATATTATCTCCTGTCTTTTGGATAACAGCCAATATAACAGGTATGAGGTGATATCTTACTCTGTTTTTGATGCACATTTCCCTAGTAATTATTAATGCTGGACATATTTTCATATACCTGTTGGCAGTTGTATGACTTCTCTGAGAAATGTTTACTCAAACCTTTGGCCCATTTTTAAGCAAAAATAAGACAAAATGAAACCTGCTACTTTGAATAGCATGTAAGGACATGATGATAAAAAAAAAAAAAAATAGACCAGACACAGAAAGACAAATACTGCATCATCTTGCTCATATGTGGAATTTAAAATATGATGATGATCCCATAAAAGTAGAAAATAAAATGGTGTTTTCCAGAAGCTGGGTTAGAAGGAAGAGGAACTGAAAAGTTGGTCAAAGGATACATAACTACAGTTAAGAGAGACAATTTCAAGAGATTATTGTATAGTAAGGTGACTACAGTTAATGACAATGTGTCATAGTCTAGAAAAACAAAGAGAATATGATCTCACCACAAAATGATAATTACGTGAGAGAATGCATTTGCTAACTAGCTAGATTTATCTTTTCCATAATAAACATACTTTAAGTTAGCACATAACACATACATGATACAAACATACAATGTTATCTGAAAGTTTTAAATTCTCCTTTAGGTAACACTGGCTTCTATCTCTAATCAACTGTAGCCATTTGCATGCATATATGTATTAATTATATGTGCATATACACATTACTGTATACATTGAATAGAGAGATGACAATTATATACAATATGGGAACAAATAGCCAAAACAATTCAAGGGTCTATGATTTCCATTTTAGTTATTTATGAGTTTGTTCTCAGTAATGAGCAACTCAACCTAGTAAAAGGAGGACCTTTATTTTACTTTGTAAATCCAGTATGAATAATTTAAGAGGTTTGGTAAATGTTGACACAATACATAGGTACTTTGCTGTTTGTATTACAATCAACTTCAGAAGTACAAATGACAAGATATAACTCAGCCCAAACTGCTTTTACTGGAAGACCAAATGAATGAGGAATAGTGAATCAGGAGTAAGTAACATGCTTTCTCATTAAAAAAAGAAAGACAACTGAAGAGATTATTGGCTGTCTTTAATTTATCAATTGCAGATGGCAGCAAGTCAAATCTTTGTAAACTGCAGGGACCTGATGAATGTGTTGAGAAACAGGTAGTGTTTTCCTATGAAATAACTTTTGTAAAGACTAAGACAGATGGAAATTATTACAATTACCTAGCACACATTTTATAAATTTGAAGAAGCATCCAGACCTCTTGTCAATATTGATAAGATTGCTTACCTATCATTATTATTAGCAGTGTTTTTCCAAGACACATAAACATATCAATGTGGAATACAATTTTTGAAGAAGACAAGTTTTTACCTGTAATAGTGATTTTTGCTGACCACTTAGAGGTCCCATCCAGAACACTTTGTTTGGCTGCCTTTGTGTACTGTACAAAATCATCTTTCGAAATCTGAAACATTTCCTGAATTACTTCAAATACTTCTGGCCTGTTCTTCTCTCTGATCTTCATTCTTTCTTTCATGGCTGTAATAATGGTCTGAGTCTTGTCTTCAGCACCATGCTTGGAACTCTTTTCTGCTGCTCCTGTAATGGAAAATTCAAGTGATGAGGACATACATGCAGCTACTTTACGAAGGTATGAGGGAAAAGAGAAGGAGCGATATGAGAATGAAGCAATATTTTTACCCTGAGAATTCAGGGTGCCTTTTTTGGAAACAAATTACTTGGCTGCAATGTCAAACAACTTGCCCTCATTTTGTTATTGCAAGTAAATTGGCCTTTGTGATGTCCAGTTTCCCCACTGTATTATTGGAAGAAATCCATGCTGTGCGATATTTTGGCTTGAATTTTCAAAACAAAATTCAAAAAGAATGCATATAATGAAATATTTATAAAGGTATATATTTATCCATTTGAAAGGCATAGTTACAGAGAGAGAGGGAGAGAGAGAGAGACAGAGATCTTCTATCCACTGGTTCACTCTCCAAATGGCTGCAACCGCCAGAGATGGGCTAGATGAACGCCCGGAAGCAGGAGCTTCATCCAGATCTCCCAACATGGACAACAGGGGCTCAAGCACTTGCACCAACCTCTGGTTGCTTTCCTAGGTGCATTAACAGGGAGCTAGATTGGAAGTAGAGCAGCCGGGACACAAACCAGCATCCATATGGGATGTCACTATTGCAAGTGCTGGCTCCACCTGCTACACAACAATTTATGGCCTACAATGAGATTCTTAAACAGTAAAACTTGCCTAGGCTGGATTAAATAGTTGGAGCTACCCACTAGTCACAGTTTTCTTCAGCTAATAGAGTATTCATTACATATAGAAGACAGTCCTGGCTGGAAGACATTACCCACAAAATTCAAAAGACTCCAAAAGTTTGGTGTTTGATTGCCTTTCTAAGGATGCTCTGTGCATGAATATTGTCATAAAACGATCCTTTTCAAATCCCAGCTTCTAAACACCTATTGTTATTGTGGCTACTAGTATATCTAAAGACTCTGGGTAGAAGTGCTAAAGTCTTGTAGAATTAAATATGTTTTGGATAATTTTTCTAAATTCATGGAACAGCCTAGTTAACTGCCCATACAATAGAAGTCAATTCAAGCAATAGCTTCCAAAGTCAAACACAGAATGTATAATGATTTTCCATCCAAAGGAATCACAATTCTGCTCTTAATGGACTGCCTCTTTAGTCCTTCAAAAAATAATTAAGAAATCTTGATGAATATCTTTGAATTTTTTCATCAGTGCCCTTGGTGTGGGAGTAGAGTATCAATTCTAATATGAGCAGACAGTAGACAGACTCATAGACTAAAATTAACAATCCAGGAAGAGCATTTTAGTAGGGACTTAAGTTTTTATTTTTTAAGCTGTATTTCTATAAACGATTTACAGCTTTAAGTTTTTTTTTTTTTTTGCTTTTACAGTTTTAAACATCTTTTATTTCTTTTTTATTTAAGAAACAGAGGATGAGAAAAAGAGAAGCATGCTCCCACCTGCTGTTTCACTCCCCAAACACCCCCCAATAACCAGAGACCAGCCAGGAGCTGAGAACTCAAATCAGTTCTCACACATAGGTGGTAGAAACCAATCCACTTCAGCCTCCTTGCCTAACTCCTAGAGTTCAATTATTAGGAGCTGGAAGCCATAGTCTGGAAGCTGGGAGGTCAAACCAAAGCACTCCAGTTTGGGAGGTTGGGTTGACCCCTAACTGGTGTATTACCTACTAAGCCCACATGCTTGTTCTACTACATACTTTTATCTGAATGACAATAAAAGTGAGTCAACTTCGATTATTTTCATATATATAGAGATACTTAATTAATTTTTTCACTGCTCTATTTTCATTCCTGTAGTTATTAAATCTGCATATCTTCCTTGTTTTTCAAATCACACTGTTTCTTAATAGTTGTGATTTGTCAAGAATTCTCATGCATTTGAGGGTATTATTTTCCTTCAGCCTTGTTTTATAATCAGAGGTCACTTTAAAACTTGATGTATGAGTCTGCCTACAAAGTAGAAGGTGCAGTAGTTTCCCTGAAGTGCAGTAATATGCCAACAGGAAACAGATATCAACAGCAAAGAAGGTCAAGGAGAATGGGGTGCAGTGAAATATTTTGTAAAATATAACATGCTATCCAAACAAAATACATCATTGTTACTTTTTAAAAACACTTAATTGACAGATCAGAAACACAATAATGGACATTAAAATAGAAAGGGAATTCAACATCAGACATAGGCCAACTAACTCTGTACAAGTCAAATAGGTTCTCTACTACATAGTTTATGGGACAACTATAGAACTTTTAATTTTTTACAATTTTTATTTATCACCCAAAATATATGTCATCAACTTTACATGGCAAATTTATCATTTTAGTATATTTCCAAAGCATTATCTATATATGTATAACAAGTCCAGTGTTCTCAGTTGATCTCAGTTCCTCTTTTTTGTCTTCCTTATTTTTCGCAACAGTTGTCCCAAACGCTGTACTTTAAGTTATCTACCACACCTTCTATTACCCACCATGCTAAGCATTATGAGCACATTCCATCTCTAACAGAAAATAGAAGTCTCTTAATCTTAAAGGTCACATATTCTTTCCTCTCCTACAGAAAATCAAAACAACAACAACAACAACAAAAGTAACTTAAACCTGATTTGTAGCATTAGCAGACTTCTGTGATGTGAATATCCTTAACATGGCTGATTTACGCAACTGTCTCATAAAAATCTTGATTATTTTAACAATCACCAGTAAATTCCTACCTGCATTTTCATATACCTCTCATGCTAGTCTGTAAGGCTAACCCCTATTAAATATGTATTCATTAAAAGAATATTTATGTGTTTGAAAGGCAGAAACAGAGAGATATATGAACATAAATAAAGATATAGATGATGTAGATATTGATACAGATATAGATGTATAAACAGAAAGAGAGAGAGAGATCGCACCTGCTGCTGTTCATTCCTCACATACCCAAAATGGCAGGGGCCAATCTTGGGCCAAGATCAAATCCAGGAGCTAGGAATATACTCTGTGTCTACCACATGGGAGGAAGAACCCCTGCTGACTCCCAGGGTCTGCACTGGCATAAAGCTGGAGTCAGGAGTTGTAGCCAGGAGTCAAACTAAGGTACTCAGAAGTAAGAGGGACGGTATGGGAGGGACGGTATGGGGGGGAAGCCATTGTAATCCATAAGTCGTACTTTGGAAATTTATATTCATTAAATAAAAGTTAAAAAAAAAAAGAGCATGGCTGCAAAATGTGGCAATAACTTCACAACAAAAAAGAGGGAATCAAGATCTCATTTTCAAGCAAGAGTATGGAGTCTGATTTTCTTAACATGAATTTCTAATTGTTTTACATTAGGAAACAGAAGCCTAACATAAAGTCACTGGGAAATGCACAGAACTAAGAACAGGTCTTGCAAGATGCTGATTCACCTGAACTTTTGGTGAAAGAGTTTTTATCCTAATGTGTAGGTACTTAAATTTTCCAGTTAGGAATTAAAATTGGGCAGAATGCTTATTCAGTGGGACTCTAGAATTCCTTCTTCAGAGACATATAAAGAAGTATAATCCAGCTGCATTAGGTACCTGATTATTTTTTTTCCCAATTTCTGGGGCTGTTGCCCTTTTATTTTGAAACTACTTTTATTATTTGAAAGAGGGGAGGAAGGGAAGATAGAAAAACCAGTTGGCTGGCTTATTCCCCACATGCCCACAACAACTAGGGCTGGGCCAGACAAAAAGCCAGGTGCCAGGAACTCAGTACTGGTCTCCTATGTGTGTGACAGGGACCAGTTAACTTAGCAGGCTCACAGGTGCATACTAGCAGGAAGCTGGAGTCAAA